AGAGGCACAGGTGGCTGCTGGTTTCCAGAACTCTGCTCAGAGGTATGGAAACAGCAGAGGACTGAGAAGCCCAGTTCTGTAAAACAAAAGTAGCTACCCTAACCCTAACCCTAACAATGAGTAAAGACACTGTGGAAGTGAAAAGAAAGCTAAAGAGTGAGCAAGCATACTCTAAAAACAGTCCTAGATGTCCTACAAATGATTGGCAGGAGGCATAATGCAGGCTGTTGGTTGGACCTGATGCATCCACATGGGGGAAGGTACATAAAGAAAGCCAAGAGGGCAGGTGGAACACTCAAGCGGAGCCCTTGACAAGGACATAGTGGTATGTAGCACAAGCAATAAGGCAAGCAGTGTGACTATCATCTTTTCTTTCTGTGAGTATACTGTGGTTTGCTTTGCATTTATGACAGTTCTGTAAAGACTGTCCTGATACATATAGCATATATTCTGATACTTTATTAGACACACAGAGACACACACAAAACAGTGGAAAGTGGTTAGTCAACTGAGAACACATTGGCCAAGTGACTCTGGCTTCATCTTATCAGTTGTCTTCATAAATGTTGAGGGAAAGTGGTGTGACACTAGGGAAATATGTGGTGGAAACAAGGACTAACCCCAAGATGGATGGAAAATTGATTTCCTGTAGTCTTTCAATGGCTTGGGAAGCAGAAAGTGCTAGTGTGAGCATATTCCAATGGAGACAGGCAGATATCAAAACTCTAGCAGCACCAGAATCACCTAGAAAATCTATTAAAAACACAACTGCTTGAATCCACTCCAGAGGTTCGTATTTGGCATGCCTAGGATGGGGACTGAGAGAGTCTGTGCTTCATTCAAGGGTCCAGCCCTGTACACTCAGGTACCACACTTAGAGGACCACTGAGTAGACTGTTGCTCAAAGCAAAAAGTAGTTCAGGATGGCCCAAATGGCCAGTCTGGATTTGTATTTCCTTTGACATTTTTAACTCCAATTTTTTCCTTAACTACTGGAGTACTAAGTTTCAGCATTGAATGACATGAAATAATTTGGCCAGAGTTTTAAAAAAAATGATGACAATCAATCTTACAAGAATGTATTTGGGGATTGTACTAGTTAGTTTATGACAACTTAACAAACTAGTGTCACCTAGGAAGAAGGGATCTCAAAGAAAGACTTATCATCAGTCAGACTGACCTACAGGCATGTGTATGGGGAATTGTCTTGATTAATGATTGATATGAGAGGGTCTATCCTACTGTGAACAGTGTCATCCCTGGACAGGTGGTCCTGGATGCTATAAGAAAAGTAAATGAGCCAGCCATGAGGAGCAAGCCAGGTAGCAGCATTCCTCTGTATTCTCAGCTTCAGTTCCTGTCTCCAGATTCCTGCCTAGAGTTTCTACCCTGGATTTCCTAAGAGATGTCATGTGACTTGGAATTGTAAGATGAAATAAATGCCCCCCAAGTTGCTTTTGGTCATGGTTTTTATCGCAGTAATAGAAAGCTAATTAGGGTGAGAACCAAGGTGTGTTCTTAAAGCTTCTAATTGGTTCATCATGCAGGCTAAGTTGAAGAGCATGGTTCCACCGAGGTCTCTGAGTATCATCTGCAGATTGTGACTACTTGGTTCCCTCAGTGTGACCTTCACAGGCTCAGACAAAACATGGAAATGTTTGCAGTTGATGTGGTATTCTGTTCAGAAAACAGGCTCACCAAAGAAAGTAGATGTGTATATCTTTGGAAGGATCTCCAATGCTGCACATTTACAATTCTGTATCTTTCCAGGACCACATCATGATGCTATAAGTAACAGGAAGAAAGAGAAAATGTCAAAAATACACATCACCAATGGATATTCCCTGTCTATACTTCAAAGCACACTCCTGTGGGGAGGGCCTCATGCACAATGAGCCTCATCATTTTCTCCCCTACCTTGGAGGTCACAGTTCAAATTCAGTGAGGAGATGACATCCCTTGGCTAAGGAAAGGCAACCTTTTCTAAAATCTCTCCCTCCACTTATCTGTGGTATTTCTGTGAGTGACAAACAGACAAAAATATATTTATCTAGGGATTATCTATATTGAAAGCTAGGCATAGGATTTCTGTCTCTGTCAACATTACAGGCATATCAGCTATTTGAACAAAAGGAGAGGTATTTTCCCATTCAATCCCGAATGCTAAGGATTCTTCAGTTCATATTCAGAAAGACATTTGGTTTTATTGATCGTGTTAGCTGAATTTGTTTAAACTCCTATAGCCAGGCAAAGAGGAGGTTGATTTTTCTTTTTATTGTAAAGGTTATTAGGGGGAACCAGATATAGAACTTATTTGTCTTTAGACAATCCAGTGGAATCAGAACACTGAAATGTATTCTACAAGTTTTGTTCAAAGCCAATATTTTGATGGTATCAAGAATTACTGTATCACTTCATGGGAATTCTCATCTTATGATCTGAAGCTTAGCTTATTTGAAAAAAATGCCTTGTTATCATGGGATATTTATATATTATCCTGCTTTTAATTGATAAGACATTTCTAAATGTTACCAACAGTCTGAAAGTTGCAAGCCCTGATTGTGCCATTTGTGATCCCTTTGCTTTACACATTGCCTCTTGGCAGACTTTCTTAGCATCCTTTGTTACAAACCTTCCCTTGGAATGCATGCCCACCATCTCCAAATCCAAAAAGAATATGTCTAAAACACTGCGTGGTAACAATTCTGTTTTATCCCTCCTCAGTATCTATCTCTCTATCTATGTATTTATGGGGGTGCTATTCATTTGTATCAAGACAAGTCTTAACTAGGCTGGCCGCCAACTCACAATTCTCCTGCCTCCGTTTCCCAAGTACTGGGACTAAAACAAGAGTGTGGAACCATTCTTGGCATTTGCTTTAAAAAAAAATGTTACTACATTTCTTTTATTTAATTGGAGGGATGTCCTGCACATGCCATATAGCACATGTGGGGGGTCAGCGAACAAATGTCCTTCCACCCTTTGGGTTCCAGAGATTAAACTCAGGTCTCCAGGGTGGGCAGCAGACACCTTTACCCACTGATCCATCCTGTCACACCTCTTCCTAGTTTTTCATTTCTTTATGTTACTTTGTTGCTTGTTTTTATTTTATGGGTTTTTTGTTTTGTTTTGCTTTGCTTATATTTGAGAAAGAGAGAGAGGGAGAATGAGGTTGAGTATATATGGAAATGGAGATATCTGAGATGAGTTGGGAGAGAAAAAAAATGACCAAAATATATTGTGTGGAAAAATAATAATAGAATTAAATAAATAATAAAATGACAAAAGAAAAGATGTAAGGGAATGAGACAAATTCCTCCAACACAACTCAAAACCACCAACACTCTTCCTCCCAGGAAGAGTTCAGTTATCACAGGACTCCTCTCCCAGGCTTTGTAGACAATCTGTAACTCATCAGTGAAAAGTGAGGGCATTAGAGGGACCATGGTGGGTGTGTCACATCATAGTGAAAGTTCAGAAAGAAGCAGGAACCTTACAGCCAAAAGACACCAGGAATGAGGACATCTACTCCTTCCAGACATGTCCTTTGTCTCAACCCATTATGATATTTACACTACAATAAAGTGCATGTGTCCAAGGACAGCCCTTTCTTTGCTGAGAGGACTGGTGTGACTTCTAGAAAATGACCACAATATTTTTAAATGAAGTTATGCAAATCTGATAGTCTAAAGTAAATGTTTCATAAAACCAATGACTGTTTAAATCGTAGGACTAAATTGTTTGTATATAAATATTACCTTTTATATTCCATTTGAGTTTTATGTAGATGAACACATTACTTTAATGACCTGCATTTACGGAGGGAGAGAGGGAGAGTGGTTCCTGAAATCCTTGCCAGCCAGATGGCTGCCTTTTCTTGCATGAGATTAAAAGATGTTTCTCATTCACCATGATGCTTCTGAGGCAGATTAATATCTCCAGCTAAATTGCTTGTGTTTTCGGAATAAAATTTAAAGAGAACTTTTTAAAGCAATTGGTGTCACCGGTTCTTGGAGCAGATTGCTCTCCAGGTAGAGACACATTCGGTAATTAATGGAAAGAATTCTGTGTTAATTGACTGCTTCGGGAAGAGAGATATAATGACCCCTTATTAATCATCAAAAGAGTTGTACAGCATGGAGGTCCCACAATAATTGCTCCAACAGTGGAAAAAATGTTAATTAATGAAAAAGAACAATGATGTAAGAAATTAGCTACATAATGCCTGCCTCCAATAGCAGTTGCATTTTAAACACACTAGAGTGGAAACCACAGAGTGTTGCTTTAAGTAACAGACACACCGAACTTTCTACCATGAATTTAGGTCGGGGGATAAAAAAAAATGTTTTTCACAGTACTTCTGTCTTGTCTGCTTGAAGAAGTAAGAACTTTCACCCAGACCTATATTTATTTCAAAGAAAGGGCCTTTGTCAATCATCGCTGATCTAGGCTTTTTAAAATAAAAAACTGTTCCCAGACCAAGACAAGGTCATTTATTAATGCCCTTTGATTTCAGCACAGTAGGTCATTTTGACTGGTAAGGACAAAGGGAATGGAAAACAATGCTCTTCCCCAAATGGAAATCAGTAAATTCAGTTTCTGAATCTTTTCCAGACAGTATACAAGAAAAACCTTCAGATTCGCTTGGGGAGCCTAATTTCAAGTCTCTGAGAGAATAGCACTCCCTGTCTCTCTAACAACTTGTAGAAAAGGAAACTGAGTTTACTGAACATGTGAAGACACTATCAGAAGTCAGTGCTAGGCCCCTAGAGTGTAGCAGCAGCATCAGTGGCCACTCTGGTGACCTGCCTCTGAGAAATTCCCAGGCCATCCTTCCCCAGGCTGGAAAAGGGGACACCAAAAGGATCAGGCAGCTGAAGAACAGAATGACACCAACATCGCTCACAGGTCCAGCCCCCTGAATGGACCGTGAGCTGCCAGCACTGCATCCCGAACAGATGCAGGAATTCCACTGACTTCACCCTTGCTTTACCTTCTAGCTGGAATGTGCTGGGACTACAAGGCGCACTCCTCTGTCACTTCATCGAGCCTGTGTACCTCCACAGCATCGTTGTGGGAAGTCTGCACCACACTGGCCACCTTGCACGGGTCATGAGCCACAGGATGGAGGGCATCGGCCAGCTGCCTGCCTCATACCGGCAAAACAGGCCTCTCCTTAGTGGTAAGACAGCAGTCTCATGACAGAGACCTGCAACCTCCTCCTTGTCTGTGGGCTGCTGAACACAGGTCCCATGGTTGCAACTCTTGTCTGATTGTATTCATGTTGACAACAGTAATTTTAAACTTAATGAGTAAAATGACAATGAAGAAATTCAATATGGACAAGTGTGTGTGTGTGTGAGAGAGAGAGAGAGAGAGAGAGATCACGGCATATCGAATAATAAGCAACATTCAACATGAATTCATCACACGTCAGTATCTTGTTTTCGCTGCAGTGTTTAAAGTAGCTCACACAAAGACCCTATTGATGTAGGGAGGCTTAGCTGCTCCTGCTATGTGAGAACCTGAGTTCGGATTCTCAGAACCCATGTAAAACTCCTGAATGTGGTAGTGCACATCTGTAATTCCAGCACTCTTTTGGGGTGGTGGGAGCTGGAGAAGAATCCTCAGAAACTCACTGGCAAACAAGAGACCTATCTCAAACAAGGTGGAATGCAAGGACTGACACTAAGGTTGTCCTCTGAGTTCTCACTATCCATACTCACACTGTAACACACACACACACACACACACACACACACACACACACACACACACTAAATAAATAAATAAATAAATGATGAAAGTGTGTCTGCGGAACCTAGGACACCCTCTGTTACAGGGCCTGGAAGGCTGGCAGGAAGCACAACTGGGAGGCAAACCCTGAGCAAACTACACTTGCTACTCCCCATAAAGCCTAGATGCTGTTAGGGGAGCTGGACATGTCAGCCAACCTAGCAACAGTTGCTTGCATGGGTAACAGGTCACATAGCCATGGAAACACTGGAAGGTATGAAATTTGTATACTGTCGGAAAGAGCCAGTGAGAAGTCTCCAAGGCTTTGGAAGGGTGACACTTATCCACTGGGACCATTGGACTTCTATATGCATTGTAAACTTCCAGACTTGTGGGAGACAACCAGAGCAGAAGGAAGAAGCATGTGGGTTTTAATCCTGTCCTGTTAGCCTTCTGATGAGAACCTGTTGGAAAACTCTAGATCATTAGTGGGTTCCCCTTTGTGTACTAAGAGGGTTCTCTTGAGGAACTACTTGTGGCAAAATCAGGAAGACACACTGAGAAACACTGGAACTCCCTGTGTAGGATCAGGCCTGGCTCTGCCCCAGGAACTGGAGGCAGGCTTTCACAGGCTTGGCTGGTTTGCTTTTAGCTTGTGCTGTGGTGTGAATGTGAAATGCCTTCCACAGGCTCGTGGGCATTAATAGGTAGTCCCTGGCTGGTGGCACTGTTGAAAAGGTTGTGAAGCTTTTACAAGACAGGTGCTTTAACCAGCTAAGGCATGGAGCCAACTGCTATGGTTGTGAAACTTTTAAGAGGTGGAGTCTTACTAGAGGAAGTAGGTGTTATAACCTCACTCCCTATCTGCTTGGCCTCCTGACTATCAGTGCAATACAGTTAGCCTCCTTTGGCTCCTCCATGATGAACAGTATCTCCTCAAACCATAAGCCAATGTAAGTGCTTCTTCCCTTAAGTTCTTTCTGACAAATAATTTGATCACAGCAAAGTCTCAGGAAAGAGCAAAGCAGTAAGACAAAGCAGTTGGTGTGTGTGTATATGTGTCTGAATCTGTGTGTCTGTGTCTGTGTGTGTGTGTGTGTATCTGTGTGTCTGTCTGTCTCTGTGTGTGTGTGTGTGTATGTGTGTGTGTGTGTGTGTGTGTGTGTGTGTGTGTGTGTATGTGTGTGTGTTATCTGTCTGTGTGTATGCTCTCTGAATGTCTGCATTTCTGTATGTTGCAATTGGGCCTAAAATTTATTCCTAGAGTTTTTAAATTGCTCCACATCATAAGATCAGGTGTAGAAAGGAGCCTCATGGGCACTGTGGTAGGGGTAAATGAAATAATTCATGCAAAGCACAGAACTATGCTAAGCAAATTCTTAAGAGAAAATGCAGCCATCACAGAAATGAATCCTTTTATTCATTTATTCTACAATGTTGATCACTTAAAGGTTATGTAAAATAAGATCACAGATCTAAAACGCTAAAACAGAGACAGTGGAAAAGGAGTTCTCCTCCATGGAGAACTGGTCCTTTACATGTTAAAACACCAGGCAATTTAGATGCTGTCTATGCAATGAGGTCCTTTCATAAGAGTCTCTTTCTTTTAGCAGTGAGGACAGTTCATGGCACTAGAACAGTGAGCTCAACTCTAGCTCATGAAGCTGAGTATAGTGACACATGCCTCTAATTTGAGTATTCAGGAAGCTGAGGGAGGATTGTGGGTTCAAGAACAGCCTTGATACATAGTTAATTACAGACTAGCCTCATATGGAGAGACTAGTGTCATTATCTGTTCAAAGGCACAGGACTTATTTGATTATTGCTACATCCTGGGGTTCCAGATATGCAGCTAAGGAGAACTTGTATTCAATTATTGGTCAGTCAGCAAGGCTACCTCACACAGAGTGGTACTGCTTTATCTAGGAATGTTAAACAACTGTTTGTATTAAGACTTTCCGTTATTTCACTGTAAAGAGTTCTGGGCTACTATTGAAGGGGTAATTACTTCATCTCCAACCTGAGGGCTGAGCTAATATTAATAAGGCTGGATTGACACCCACAGGCAGTGGGGAGCCTACTTTCTGTGTGCTTGCTCTACTTCTGCTTATTACATCACCCCTAGATCCCTACTTTTGTTCCCAGCCCATTGGCTGTCTCCTTAGCCCTCAACACAGAATGTGTGATGGATTCTTAATCACTAGCTAGTCTGTGACATACCTAATGGATGGAGTTTTAGTCACCTGAAAGGTCCAAGCTATGAAGGCTACCTTTGGGATCTATCTAGATTGCAGAATCCATAACTCTAACCATAGCAACTCTTGGAAAATGAACAACTTATGGGTAGTATTCTTGGGGACAGAAAGGAGGCAAGAAGAAGGGTATGTTCTGATTGGTACAATTATAAAGTTCAGAAGTATCCAGGGAGTGGCAAATCATTCAGATAAATGAGACTACATTTCTTGAACCTTCTCTCAATGTTGACTTCATGGCATGAATCATCTCCATCAACAACCTTCATACCAACCAAAAACAAATACTTGTCTCTCCATTTTTTGTGTCAAAGGAAGGTTAGGGAGCTTTCTCAGTCTAAAATGTTTGCCTTGCAGGAGTGAGGGCCCTGATTTCAAGCTCCAGGACCCACATGAAAAGACCCAGCATTGTGGCTTGATGTCCAGACAGTCTAGCCTACTTAGAGACTGAGCCCACTGAGGAGCCCTGTCTTAGGAGGTGGATGATGATCCTGAAGAATGGTGCTGGATGTTGCCCTCTGACCTCCACATGCATGTGCACACATGTGTAACCTTCACAACTGTGAACATACATTAATTAATTAATGCTGAAAGAGACTCATGTAAATTCAATATATTCCTTAAGATGTTCTATTTAACCAAAAGGAACAAGGATTTAGACCCAGATCTAGTTGGCTTAAATTTTAAAGTCTTCTGATATGTCAGATTATATCCTGTGGCAGTGCAGTACAAGTTCTTAGATGTCTATTTTTTTTAACTGCATAAAAACTAATAATGCGAAACGAGGCTAGCTAAAGAGGCAACGACATCTAACTACCAGAGAAGTGGTGTGGGAGCAATGAGCCAATGCACTGGAGTGTGTCCAAAACTCTTAACTGCCCGCTGTTCTCACAGTCACTCAGACAGCACTGAAGACTCATCTATCGCCAAGCACGGAAGTGAAAGGTTTGCCCCGAGGTCTAGAAAATTATATTTATTTTTTAAATGGCCAATAATTTCAGCAATTCTGAGAAAATGTTACTTGGGGATCAAAAACTTCCTCTTTCTTGATTTCATTTTTCTTGTTTCTCTTTATCCTGCCTTTCCTTAAAGTGGCAAGGACTCACTGTAACAAAGTAACAAAACTAGCTCAGAACAACCTTGGAAAATGGCTAGTTTGAAAGCATAAGAGAATGTCACCATACTAGATGTCCCCAGATTATGATATAGTTGTTAGATTTAGTGTAGGTTAAATTTAAGAGTCTTTTCGTTTATTATGATGGGTTTGCATTCTCTCTTTTTCAGAGCTCCTAACTCTTTGAGTTGTCCTCACTCTTCTGCATTTATCTAAGTTTTTTAAAAAAAATGATTTGGGGATGGGACAGATGGCTTATCAGTTTTGAGTGATTGTTCCTCTTATGTAAGACCTGAGTTTGGTTCCCAGCAGCTTACAATCACCTATAACTCCAGCTCTGGGGTATCTGATCCCTGTGGGCACCTGCACACACATGCACATACCCACACAGAGAGATGTACACATAAAAATAAGTCTTTTTAATAATGACTTAAAATGAACAAACGCTAAGAAATAGAAACTACAATACAACCTCCTTATCAACCCACTGGCCTCTGTCCATCCTCTAGGGACCAGTACATCCCTTCTTGGACATCCAGTCTTATATCTGTACTTTTTATAAACAACATGTTCATCTGGGAACATGGCAACATAAATAAAATGTTAACTTTTTGTTATTGTGGCTGTAGAGATGGCTCAGCAGGCAAAATACTTGCTGCACCAGCAAAGGGACCAAGCCTGGTGCCCAACACCACCAATGAACAACCCAAGCCCAGCAGCATGCTGGAAAGGGCAGAGACAGGAAGATCCCTAGAACTCACTGGTCAGCTAGTCCTGCCAAAATGGTCAGCTTCAGGTTCATTGAAGTGGCCCCATTCTAAAAAATAATGTGAGGGGCCACAAGATAGCTCAATGGTTTACAGCATTTGTCACACAAGCCTGGCAACCAGAGTGTGATTCCCCCAAACACAAGTTGAATGAAAAGTTACATAGACAGTGTCACAGCAGAAATAAGAGAAACTCAGTGACATAAAAGGAGAGAATTAACTTATGGAAAGATGTCATCCTACCTCAACATGCATGGAGCATGCATACACACATATATAATAATGGTGATAGGCTTGTAATGATAAATATACA